CCATTAATCAACCAAGCAACCATAGAATCATACTCGTGTCCAGGAGCGAAACCAAAAAATTAGTTGAGAGGGGCAAAAGACATGACACAATGGGTTTGGAATCGAACTCTAATGGTTTCAGAACTGATACCGAACCAATAACATTTCGGTAACTGATTTTCGGTTATCGTTACACATAAATCGGTTCGGTTCGGTTTATTTTCTCATCGGTTCGGTTCGATTTTCTATTTTCGGTCAAAAAATACCAGCCCTAGCCTGGGCAATAAAAGAGAGTCGAAGTTTTTTATATAGGTCAATTAAAATTGTAGAATGATAATAATTAATATACAAAATTAATAATAAAATAAATTAAGTGTTGAATTGTTAATTGACAATTGTGGACAAGTCGGCTAGTGAGTGACATTTAAAAAAAATGTAGGAGTGCAAAAATAAATTTAAAAGGGGAACAAATTAAAATTTTTGATATTAATAGTAAAAAAATTTAAAATTTTAGGGGGGGCAATTGCCCCCCTATCACTCAATCTAAATTCGCCCCTGCTTGGTGTCGCCTAAACAACCAATCCGCATATACCAAAGGGCAAACACAACACTTTGAATCCTTTAGTATAGTCTACACAACCAACGGCGACAAAAGAGAAGGAAAAAAGTAATTAGTAAACAATTGAACATTAAACTAATTTACTTCCTCCCTTCAAGCAAAACTAGCAGCCACCAAATTCAAGTTTGAGAATTCCATCTAACCTCTTAAGGCAGCTTGTGCAATGGCTTTCTCTGATTTTCACACCGTTTGAAAGATCCACAGGGTCCGAGATTTTCAAAGTCACCATAAAATATAAGTTGATAATTCGATGCAAGTTTCAGAAATATCAGAATGATCAAGCGTTGAGATACTCCACCACTAGTCCTTGAAGTACCTAGCTTCATGTTGTGAACTACTCAATTCAAGAGGAGATAATTTCCAAACCTAATTGTCCTCCGACCTCCTACAGTAAAAGAAAATATGTTCAATGTCTTCCTCAGCTTCTCCATAGCATGACAAACTCTGTCCACCTTCACAACACATCTGTTCTTCAAATTCACACCAGCTGGTAGGGTCCCAGTAAAACAATTTCATAAAAAGTGTTTTAGCTTCCTAGCGACTTTCAATTTTCAGCACTTAGCTCTAGCCTTCTAATCTTGTCTTGCTGAATTGTTGCCCTCAGCTCTATCAAGGTCGAGGACCTTATCATGAATTAGTTTTTAGTAAGATGCAACCATTGAGAACTTACCCTTTGAATCCCCTGTCCATATTCACCTATCTATCAGCTTTGGATTCAACGTGTTTATTTTAATAATTGGTGTTCCACCTGCCTCATCAAAGTGTTCTTTAATGAGCTCCATATTCCATCTTTTACCTCCTTCCTGCACAAGATCTATAACCCAAGTTAGCTGTTGAATTATGTCCTCCCTCATCACAGGCACACCAATTTTTAACCCAGACAATCAAAGTTCCTTCTATATTTTAGTGTTTAGCCCATCCCTGACTTGCCTCCTGTTGGACATGTACGTTCTGTTTTTATTGTGGAAAATTTGTGCATGTTGATAAAAGTTGCAATAAAAAGAAAAAAGATATTAACAATAATGTGCTTAATGTGGGCCAATTTGAGGAATGGTTAAGAACCAGCAACATTGTCTCTAGTGAATCTAGGAGTCCTTAACACAAAGGGAGTCATGCCAGTGTAGAAGTTTTCAATAAATTTGCTTCCTTAAATTAGAACAAAGTGGTAGTAGGGGAAAGGTTTTATCTGGGGAAGAGAATACTCCTTCACCTGAAGTTGGGGTGTCTAAAGATAAAAGAAAAAAAAAGCAAGGTTACTACTGATCTAGGTTTGCTAAATGAACTTCCTCTGATTGAAGTGGAAATACAACCCTCCTCCATAGAAGATAGGATTACCCAAAAGAAAAAAGAGTACTTTCACTAAAACATAGGGTTGATCAGAAGATGGGGATTGAGATTATGCATGATAGAAACTGAGGAAAAATGGGTGCGGGCCCACTAACATGAAGCGCACCATGAACGGGGAGAAGCCCATATGAAACCCAAGTGGGGTTCCATCCCAAAACTAATTGGTGGAAGGAGAAGTAGCTCATTAGTCTTATAAAGTGTGTCTATTTTTCATGTATGAACGATGTGGGATAACTCACAAGTGATATTCTAACACGTGCCCTCACTTGTGAGTCCTTCGAAAGCCCAAGTCCAACTGGATGGGTGACGGGTACGTCATCGCACGGTCACCAATAGAACCGGCTCTGATACCATGATAGAAACTAGGGGAGAACAAGTGCGGACCCACTAACATGAAGCACACCATAAACGGGGAAAAAATCCCCAAGTGGGGTTCCATCCCAAAACCAATTGGTGGAAAGAGGAGTAGTCCATTAGTCTTATAAAGTGGGTCTATTTTCCATGTATGAACGATGTGGGACAACTCACAAGTGATATTCTAACAATGCAAATTGATGAGAAAGAAGAGAACCAAGTAGGATCTAGTGGTAAGATAGATTTTAAGAGAAAATGTGAGGAAGGGCAGGATGCCAAGCTAAAAGAAGAAGGGTTGAGTGTAGAAGGGAGAAAATTAAAATTTTCTGAGTGAATCTCCATTTCTGAGGTGGAGGAAACCAACAGTATTGGTCCCGAGGTTTTCAATGAAAGCTTGTGTGTGGAATTGTAGAGGTTTGGGGAGGCCCCTACAATTTTCCAGTTTAAGGAAGCCTTAAGAGTCCACCTCCCTGATTTTGGGTTTTTGTCAGAAACAAAAAGAATATAAAAAATAAAAAAAAAATGTTTCCATGTGTGAAAGAGTAAAGCTAGGTGATAGACGGTTTTATGTTAAACCCTTGGGTAGCAAAAGAGGTTTGTTCTTGACCTGGTCTGATAGTGTTTCTATTTTGCAAATTAGGACTGTGGATTTTTTTATTGAAGCTAATTTTAACTTGCAATGATCCTTGGAAAGTTTTCGGACTTTTTTTTGTATATTAGTACTGACTCTGATTAGGGGCATGCAGTTTAATTTTTTGGTTAGGCATAGCCTTTTTTCGGGTGATACCTGGTTTCTATGTGGGGATTTGAATGCTATTCTTAGCAATTGTGAGAAGGTGGGAGGGTTGAGAAGGGAGAAGTCTAGCTTTATCAGTTCAAGTCCTTTGTCCATTCTTTGGGGCTGGATGAAGCCAAAATTGTCGGTCATCCCTATAGTTGAAAGGAGTTCACTTCATTAAAGAAAAACTAGAAAGGTTTCTGTTTTCTGCTTCTTCATTTTCAAAATTCCCTAATACTCTGATTAAGCACATTTTTGTTATCTCTTCTAATCACTTCTTGCTTGTTATGGAAAGTGACTACTTTCGTGTGAAAGATAGAAAAAGATTTATCTTTGATTTTAGGTGGGTTAATTTGGATGGGTTCAGGGAGGTGGTGGATTTGGCTTGGACTGCTTAGGTGTCTAGACGTGAGCTTTTCAGTATTCAGGATAGATTCAAGAATGTAAGAAATGCTCTGTTGAAGTGGAACGCTGGCAAAATTCCTGATGCTAGTAAGACTATTGTTGGATGTAAAGAAAAATTGGCCATTCTTAATACTCAGGGAGGGCATAGAGACTGGGGAGTGGGTTAAGTGCAAAGATGAGCTTCATCTAGTTTATTCTAGTTAGGAAAATTTTTGGAGACAGAAAGCTAGGGTAGCTTGATTTAAAGATGGGGATAGGAATTCTAAGTATTTTCATGCTAATGTGAACCAAAGAAGAGAATCAATAATTTGGAAAATATTTCTAAAGTTGATGGGTCTAGATGCAGAAATAGAATGAAGAATTTAGTTGAGCTGTTAGCTTATTTTGATTATATTTAAGTCTTCCATTCCTATGGACCAGAATTTTAATCTTACAGGGATTCCTAAATCCATCACCGAGGATGCGAATGTTGAGTTAACTAGGTTGGTAGATGAAGATGAGATTAGAATTTGTTTGTATGAAATGAGTCCTGAAAAAGCTCCTAGGGATGATGGCTTGACTGCTCTTTTTTACCAACCTTCTTAGCCTGTTACCAAACTGTTGGGATATATAAAGATCTCGTTATGTACAAGTCACGAATTCAATAGCAAACGTAAACCTATGCGCAACGGATCTAAAAGTTTGACGTAGAGAATTTACGGCTTAAAATTTATGGCGATCTGGCTGGCCGAACGAATGACTGCAAATCACGTCTTAGGGTTGCACGAAATGGTAGGGAGTTAAGGTTGGACTCCCAACCTATATATAATCAAGACCCTAATTGGGCTGAAACATCACAAGTCTACAAGTTCAACAACAAACAAAAATAAAAATAGAAACATAAAAAGGGGAAAAAAAAACAACAACCAAAAGAAATAAGTCTGAGCCTCCAATAATACTTACTCGATTTATCTCCCCACGTTTAAGATATATTGTCCATTAATTAATTTGATTACTGACAATCAAGAATTAATTAATTTATTATTGTTTCACCGAAGCTAGCGCTCGTTCATCACATTCTTATTATGCCAGAACTTAATCCACCTGCAGGGTTTAGCATAACAATCCTTCATGAACTCACTCCGGGGACATCATCAAACTAACGCACATGGTGACCGTAAATATCCTAATAGCACATCCTATATCAATGTCTTTCGAGCACTCACTTTTTTCGGCTCTTTTCTTCTTTTTCCTTTCTTTTTCGTCGAATAATATTACCAAAAACAGTATGAATATTGATCCAGTGAACTGAACCTCACCCGAGCGAATCAAAGTAATATATATTATATATATCTGCCTGTTTAATATCTTACGGGTTAAGAGAACGCAGTAATTAACTGAGGCCTAGTTCATTTACGACGATCAGTATAAAATGAACTTCTCTCTGAGATCCTGTTCAATACATAAATGTACTAGTGCAACTAATCAGTCAAGACAAACTGTACAGTTGACACTATAACCGTTCGGATGGGGTGTTCATGTCCATCTAGGTTGTGAACAACTATTCTTGTTCGCAAGTAACTGATAGAGTGATCTTCGGTTCGCCCGATGACGACCCACTCCATCTAAGTGCAGAACAACAGAACGTAGAACTTGTTTAATCTAACATGATTCTCATTTATAAAGGGCAAATGTGTAATAACATGCAAAACCAAGCTTTCAGTATATAACACTAACACAAATATCATGTGTGCTTAGTTGTGCAGAATTTTTTCAATAATGGCAGAATGCCTACTGGGTTAAATCATTCTCTAACTTCTTTGATTCCCAAAAAGGTTAATCCTTCTCAGGTTTCTGATTTTAGAACAATCAGCTTGTGCTCAGTGATTTATAATCTCATTCTAAAATTATTTTCAACGGACTCAAAAGTTGCTCTTCTTTGTTGTATCAATGACTCCCAATCTGCTTTTGTTTCTGGGAGACAAATTCTAGATAATGTTATTATGGCAAATGAATTCATTCACTTTTTTAATAGCAAGAGAAAAGGAAAAAAAACTACATGGCCCTTAAACTAGATATGGTTAAGGCATATGATAGAGTTGAATGGGGGGGTTTTTTAGCTTAAATTTATAGAATTATGGGTTTAATGGTGTGTTCATTTCTTGGATTTTGGCTTGTGTTTGCTCAGTTTTATATTCTTTCAATGTGAATGGCTCTGTTCTTGGTTATATTCAACCTACAAGGGGTCTCAGACAAGGTGACCCCCTGTCTCCCTATTTGTTTATCCTTGTTCTAGAAGCCTTGTCAAATTTGATCACTCAAGCTGTTTCTAATGGTCCCTTTTATGGCATTAGAATAGGAAAGCATGCTCCTATGGTGTCTCATTTATTCTTTGCTGATAACTCCATCCTTTTTTGCAAAGCTGATATTGCACATGCTTCTTTGATTGTGAACTTGTTGTCTTACTATGGAAATGATTCTGGTCAGATGGTCAATTATGATAAATCTTCCGTTCTTTCCTCCAAAAACACTTCCTTGGCAAGCCAAGAGAACATTTGTGAGGTCTTGAATGATATGTCTAGGGTCAATGTCAAAATTCATTGGGCTGAGTGGGGGAAAATGTCTATTTCAAAAGTTTCTAAGGGTTAGGGTTCAAGGATCTTAAAGCCTTTAATGAGGCCTTGCTAGTCAAACAACTTTGGAGGCTTTTGACCAAGCCTAATCTTTTGGCAAGTAAGGTTCTCAAAGGTAAATATTTTTGGAATAGGAATCTTATGGATGTTCAGCCCAAAGGTAGTGATTTCTTGCTTTGGAAGAGTTGGTTATGTGCCAGAAAGTCTCTTAGTCTAAGAGCAAGATATCAGGTGGGGGATGGTTCTTCCTTTAGTGTTTGGGATTCTCCTTGGATCTCAAACAATACTTATTTTAAACTTTTTTGTGTCTTCGGTGGAGATAGAGATAGAAGTTCCACGGATAGTTATTTTATAAGGGGTGGGGAGTATAGAGAGTGGGATTCTGAACTTATCTGCCAAACCTTTACCCCTAATGATGTTGAACTCATATTGAAAATTCTTTCTTCAAATTCTGGAAGGAAAGACAGGCTGATATGGAATGGGAGTAAGAAGGGGAATTTTTCAACAAAAGAGGCCTACAACACTATCTTGAATGCTCAGAGGGAAAGAAAGTGTCAATCCAGTTCAAGTCAGGAGTGCTTTAGTATGAAAAGAATGTGGAGGAAAACTTGGAAGCTGCCTATAAAAGGTAAGGTGAAAATATTCTTGTGGAAATGTTGGTTTCAGTTTATTAGTTCAAAGATGCAGCTGAAATCCAAAGGGTTGAAATGGAACCAATTTGTCGGGTGTGTGGGAATGTTGGGGAATCACTTAACAATATCATGTTTACCTGTGAAAAGGCAAAGTTTGTTGGGATCTGTGAGGATCTCGTTATGTACACATCACGAATTCAATAGCAAACGTAAACCTATGCGCAACGGATCTAAAGGTTTGACATAGAGAACTTACGACTTAAAATTTATAACGATCTGGCTGGCACGAACGGATGACCGAAAATCACGTCTCGGGATTGCACGAACAAGATCGGATCGAAAAATGGATCAAATGAGTGCAAACGGATGAAGATAGAACTTGCAGCCAACAACCACCCGGCGACGCGTGGCGGCTCGTGCGGCGGCGATCTCGGCGGCGGCTGAAAGCTGGCGTCGAGACGGTCTTCTGGGTATGCTCGGTTGCTTGATCTGACCTCCAGTTAGTCCTGCGGGATTAAATATATAAAGTCCCGATTTACCTATTGATCTTCTACTGTATTACTTAATACACCTTTCTTCAACTTGTACCAGTGGAGCAACAAGAATAAGATAAAGCTCGAATGAGATCTAGAGAGAGAGTCGTGGGGCGTGTATCTCGATCAGATGTGATTGAGATTCTCTTCTCATGAGCTTAATGATGTATATATAGAGCTACAATAGGGACCCCTAGGAGATTAGGAATAGGGGTCCTTAATTAATTAGACTAACTATGGGTCAAGCTCACTCCTCTAATTAATTAAATAATATTAATTAGCCAACAACATTATATTATTGCACTCCCTTTTTCTAGCCCAAATTACATTTGAGACTCCAATAATAATTACTCGATTTACCTCCCAACGTTTAAGATATAATGTCCATTAATTAATTCGATTACTGACAATCAAGAATTAATTAATTTATTATCATTTCACCGAAGCCAGCGCTCGTTCATCACATTCTTATTATGCCAGAACTTAATCCACCTGCAGGGTTTAGCATAACAATCCTTCATGAACTCACTCCGGGAACATCATCAAACTAACGCACATGGTGACCGTAAATATCCTAACAGCACATCTTATATATAATAAAATTACCCAAAACAGTAGGAATATTGATCAAGTGAACTGAACCTCACCCAAGTGAATCAAAGTAATATATACTATATATATATGTCTGTTTAATATCTTACGGGTTAAGAGAACGCAGTAATTAACCGAGGCCTAGTTCATTTACGACGATCAGTATAAAATGAACTTCTCCTCTCTGGGATCCTGTTCAATACATAAATGTACTAGTGCAACTAATGAGTCAAGACAAACTGTACAGTTGACACTACAACCGTCCAGATGGGGTGTTCATGTCCATCTAGGTTGTGAACAACTATTCTTGTTCGCAAGTAACTGATAGAGTGATCTTCGGTTTGCCTGATGATGACCCACCCTATCTAAGTGCAGAACAACAGAACATAGAGCTTGTTTAATCTAACATGATTCTCATTCATAAATGACAAATGTGTAATAACATGCAAAGCCAAACTTTCAGTATATAACACTAACAAAGTTGTGCTAGAAGTTAAGTTGTTTAGAGTGAGAGGTACAAGGATAAAGGATTAATGATTTCAAAATTGGTGATTTAATGTTTGTCTGTCTGGGAAAGCTGCTTGCATGAAAGATATTAACTTTTTCAGCTTATCTCTTTTCGGGAATTTGGAAAGCTAGAAATAAGTTGCAGTTCAAAGGGGATTGGATTTTTGAGAGAGGGGTGGTAGAAAATGCTAAATCTGAGTGGTTAGAGTGGAAGGGAAAGAAGGAAGTTGAAGGAGTTCTTCTAACTAAGGAATTACCATAGCCATTCTCTAAAACAGATTAACTTTTAAAGGGAGTAGGTCGGGCATCTTTGGCCATCAGTGCTTTGCTCTCTGTGGATGGTGGGGTTGCCTCAATGTTTTGTTTAGCAACTTCAAAGGAAGGCAGCAAAGTTTAGTGGAAGCCTTTTACTTTGCAATCAAATGGAGTCAATTGGAAGGTCAGAGACTTGGCTTGGGGTCCTCTAGTTTGCTACCTCAATGATGTTGATATCACTGAAGCCATTAACAGAAGAATTTTGTACTCTGCTTGCTGTCCTGCTGGTGACCTTTGATTTAGTTGCTATTTGTAATGTCAAGTACTTTGTTTTTGCTCCTGTTTTCTAGTGTGTTTGTTCAGGCTTGTGTAGCCTTATAGAGAAAGTGCTTTACTTCTTCGTGTTCTTGGTTCCTTCCTTGTGTTGTTCTTTTTTTAGAAAAAAAAAAAATCTAAACGATTGATTTTATTGAAATAAACACACAAATACAAACTAGAGACAACAACTCTGGTGAGAAACCAGTCAACAAACTGAACCTAGATAGGAGAGCTGCTCAAAGTGTAGTCTAGATCCAACCTACCAACAACAAACAAACCACAACACACTAAACCAACCTATAAACTCTCGAAAGAGGAGAAAGAAAAACTCCCACAAGGAGAGAAGCTCCCAACCGGGAGAACAAAAAAAGAAAAAAAAAAAGAAACATTAGCCAACAAGAAAACACAACAAAAACTAAATATAACAATGCCCTCCCCACTGGTCTTCAATGCCACCTCCCGCGCGACCAAGCAAGCATCCAAACGCGACCCACCAGGAAGAGGCCCCAAAAACTACAGCCCAACCGAGCCCTAGATCTGAAACCTTCTTCGGGACTCGCAAACCCTCCCAGGCCAATCCACCACCACAGCTCCTCCACCCAAACTCCGGGGCCAACACACGAAATCACCACCACCGCCGAAAGGCCCGACCAACCCAACACCAGGGGAGGCCGAAGAATGAGAAAATCAAGGCCGGACCGCCACCACAGACATCCTCGAACGCCCGCAGCGACCGTCAGACGCCACGCCTAGCGACTCCCGCGTCAAGTTCGCCCGCCATGGCACTCGGTTACAAGAGCAGGACCACTTACGGGGACCACTTACGGGGAGGGAGAGGCGAAATGGCCACACGCTCGTGCCGACAAACCTAGGGTGATCCCAATGGTCGCTGGAATCGCAAGAAGATGGGACAGCCAGAATGGAGGCTCCGTAATTAGTTAGTTGTATTAATACTTTGATTTAGGTTATAAATTTCTTGTTGTATGAATACTTTGATTTGAGGTTATAAATTTTTTGGTTTGTCTTTGTTATAATAAATAT